AATGATAGTGAGCTCATATGAACTATGAGCTCACTATCATTACATTATCACAATGCAAATCTGATAAAATAACTTTCTTTACACCAAAAAACAAATGAGAAAGTATGCATGATGTATATGAATGAAGAAAAAAATATTGTGCTTTTCTGTACATTAATTTAGATCCTTATTTCTTGATTTGGGATCTGCTACTTCCTTTGCAGGAATCAATATGTTGCCAAGTAGATTAATGTTTTAAGAACTGGAGAAGAAAGACCCTTGAATTACAGCCACAGATACCTAAGACATTAAGATAAACTTTCAGATTTTTCTAAATGTGATTTTTCTAAATGTAAATATTCCCCTAATGCATATAGATACTTCCTATTGCTACATTTTTTCTTTTGATTGGATCATAAGTCAGTTATTCTTGCAAAGAGTCAAGTGCTTGGAAGAGTGAAGATTTCCACAGGTGATGTTCCTAAAAACATTTATTAGTAACTAGGAGCTGTTTCCTTTCCACAAACAGAATGGATAAGCTCCCCAGCTGAACAATCTATAAAGGGCAATGTGTACTTTTTTTCTTAAAAAAATGAATAGAATTTAATATTGCACAGGGACAGCAACAGTTATATGAACTTCAGACAACTGAAATTACATACAGTCATAAACACTCAGTGGCCTATTTCAGCTTTCTGTTTTACCAGCTGGGAAGGCATTGCCTCCTAGAGCAAAACTGTGATCAAATTAGCAGGATATCCAAGCAAGATTTCAAATGCAGCAGTACAGCTTCTAATAGACCAGACTACAAAAACCTCTTGTCAATTAAAAAACAACTGATTATTAAGGCACAAATTCAAGCTTCTAGAAAATAATCTACATTTAGAATTACAGTAGATTTAGAAGCCAGTGAAAGTAGCAACAGACAAATTTTATTATCCAATAGTGAAGCCAAGTCAGAAATGAAGATGTTTAATTCTGATGTGAAACAAGACTTTTACAAGAAGAACGATTGTAGAGTTTACAGTTGCTATATGGCCAATTTTTTGTAATTTACACATTCACTCCAGCTGCCTAGGAAATAAATTTGAAAAGATGGCTTGAAAAGATGCTGCCCTCCAGAATGGCTGGTTGTCTTGTAAAGAAGTATGCATATTTGGGAGAGGAAGTAGCAAATCTTGAAAATTTAGTCAGAATTTAGGCAACTAAATTCAGGCTGGTCTACGGCCCTCAAATACAAATGTTATTTTGTTTGAGAATGAGGGATGACAATCAGGCACATTTTTAAACCCTCCCCCCCCCCCTTTTGTTAATTTATCTTTTCTAGATAATTTCTAAGTTCAACCCAAAACAATTATGGGTGAACACACTCCAGATGTAGCTCAGAACATACCAGATGAGGTTTTGTGAATGAGATATCTTTGCACCTATCAAAAGAGAAGAGGATGGCCATATACCATCTATTTTATTCCTCTTACACCCCTAGTTATTCATTTACATGACCAGAGTTCTTCACACAAAACCTACCAAAGGGTAATAAAATGGGCGTTGGTTCTTACCTGATACGGCCCTTCTAGGCGAGCCGCGAGGAGCATCCAGAGAGTGGGATGTGCTTCTGAGTCCTCTTCTTGCAGGCTGAGCTTTAGCTGAGGAAACGCTCCGCCCCCTCACGTGACTCCACGCAGCGTTCCTCCAGTTTTTTGCGATAACGAGAAGAAAGGTTATGAAGTCCTTCTAATCAACTATTGGCTCCTTGGCTGAAACAAGAGTCCTCACCAGACGGAGGAGCTAGGGTGGGGCTGGATGCTCCTCGCGGCTCGCCTAGAAGGGCCGTATCAGGTAAGAACCAACGCCCATTCTCCCTCGAGCCACTCGGAGCATCCAGAGAGTGGGACATACCAAAGCTTGGCTGTCCTACGGGTGGGCCTCCATCTGGACCGGAAGCCCCTCCGGGTCACTGATGACCCTCTGTAGGACTCGTCGGCCAAACAAGGCCTCCGCTGAGGCATATACGTCTATTTTGTAATGCCTGATGAATGGGGACGGAGAGGCCCAGGTGGCTGCCCGACAAATGTCAGCGATTGGGGCTTGCGTGGCCCAAGCCGCCGAAGTAGCTGCACTCCTGGTGGAATGAGCAGTTATTCCACCGGGTGCGGGCAGAGATTGTGATAGGTAGCACCTGCCGATAGTCGCCCTGATCCAGCGACTGATGGTTGAGGGGGAGACTTTGAGCCCCAGCGTCCTGGGCTGAAAGGAGAGGAAGAGGGATTCTGATCTTCTCAGGAGTTGTGTGCGCTTAATGTATATGCGCAAGGCCCGTCTAACATCTAAGGTGTGCCAAAGGATTTCCCTGTCCCTCGAGGGTCTGGGGCAAAAGTTTGGGAGGACCAGTTCCTGTGACCTGTGGAAGGGTGAGTTAACCTTGGGTAAGAAGGTGGGGTCGGGGCGAAGGACCACCCGATCAGATCGTTTCTAATTGACAATGCTGCTATTTCCGAGACTCGACGAGCAGAAGTAATGGCCACTAGAAAAACTACCTTAAACGTTAGAAATTGAAGGGAGGACTCCCTCAGAGGCTCAAACGGATGTCTTGTGAGTGAGACGAGGACCTTGTTGAGGTCCCATGTGCGGAACCTGTGAACAGTCGGAGGGCACAAGGTGGCGCCCCTGAGGAAAGCCCTAACTCGGGGGTGATGAGAAAGGGAACCGAAGTTAGCACAAGGGACAACGGTTGAGAGGGCAGCAACCTGCCACCTCAGGGTGTTAGGGGCAAGCCCTTTACGTAGGCCTTCTTGAAGGAATTCCAGGACCTGCGCAATAGAGGGAGATAGGGGGTCAACTTGGGACCCACTACACCACTTGCAAAAGCCCTTCCAAGTGGCATCATAAATTCGTGTGGTGGAGGGTCGCCTAGCGGCCAAAATAGTGTCGATTACTTGACTGGAGAATTTCTCTCCTGTCAAACGGATCCGTTCAACCTCCAGACGACTAACTGGAGCCATTGGGGCTCTGGATGCAGAAGGGGCCCCTGAGAGAGGGAAATCCTGTCCGGGGGGATCCTCCATGGGGGCGCTACCGATAGATTGCGGAGGTCCGCGAACCACGGTCGCCTGGGCCAATAAGGAGCCACCAGGAGCAGGTCTGCCCTCTCGTGAATGAGTTTCTGTATGACTCTGGGAACTAACGACAGCGGAGGGAAGGCATATAGGAGCCCTGGGGGCCATGAGCAGCATAGTGCATTGTGATTCTCCGACCCGTGAGACGGGTACCTGGAGAAAAACCGTGGAAGCTGTGCGTTGGACGGGGAAGCGAAGAGATCCACCATCAGTAGGCCGAATATTCTGGATGCCTCCTTGAACAGGGATGGATGGAGGCGCCATTCTGCTTGATCCACCGTGGCCCTGCTCAGCCAATCCGCCTGGATGTTGGAAATTGATAATGATAATGATAATAGTAATAATAGCAAAGGGCGGTTGGCTCGCCTGGAATTGGCCTGCGACTAGGGCCGGGTGAGGTTTGAGCTGGCCCGCTCCCCCTTTTGGAATTTAATATGTACAGTGATAACAGGCAGTAAGGTAATATGTACAGATATATAATTTTTGGTTTTTTGTTTTTTTTTGCTATTTGTATGTGAAGGTTATCTATGTATATACATATAATTTTGTATATAAATTTTTTTCTTCTTTTCTTTTCTCTTTTTTTTTGATTTCTTATATAAACAATAACAGGAAAGGAACTAAAAAGGTATCACAGTACAGGCCGGATTTACCAAATAAACGCCTGAGGCCTAGAGAGAAAGGCCTCTGGCAGCAGGCCTCCAGACAACAAAAACCGGAGGGGGGGGGCTGCAACTTCGCCCCGATGAAGGCTGCGGGAGGCCAACAAAATAATGAGAGCGAGCCTGGAAGATCGCTAAAAACAACTAAGCTCTTGACCCAAGGGGTCTGGGACGTTTACATCCACCGCAGCACCAAGAATCAGAAATAAAAATGGCGCCCGACCACGATGCGGCGCCAAGATGGTGGCCGCGAGCTGAGCTATGTCGGGTGCCTTCGGGACGGTAAGGAGGGCTTGTCCGGTTAGCTCAGCGCGCCTGGTGCCCTTGAGGGGCGACTAGCCCTTCCCGGTCGGTGTTTTGGGTGGGGGGGAATCCAGCGAGAATGCGCGCCATGAGGCAGTGCGGAGGCAGCGACACGATCTAAGGGGGGGGGGGGGGGTCGCGCGAAGCACTGCGAACCCGCCCGCTTGTCC